CAAAAAACTTTTAGATGGGCATCTAGGCAAACACTATAGGATATGGGTAATGGAAGTGATATAATCACATAGACACATACACACTAACACAGATTGGACTGGTGTCTTTATTCAACCCTATTAACTATGTAATACAAAAGCAAAGCTGGAATAACTAGCCTTCATTGGCACCCCAAGGATTCACATAACCCTGTATTAAAACCAAAAACATTTTTATTAACAAAAAATAAAAAATAAGCAGACATCATTTTAAAATTGTTATGCCTTCAATATTCATAGAGGTCAACTCCTCTAGACGAAGTGAAGCGGTACATTGTACTGTATATACCAAAAAATATTCACAAGAAGTCAATTCTACACATTATACTGTAGTTTTCTCTTCCTCGACATATTTCTCAGAATGCTGCTTCCTCAAGTGGATGAAGGAACCATAAGAAAAGTTCTAAAAATGTATTTGAGGGTTGTCTGAAAGGAAGGAGTGACCACACAGATATGAAACTATAAAGCCACTCTTCCAGATGTTCAGTGTTGAAAATGAAGCATGCATGCTATACAGTTTTCATGTGTTCTTTGCAAACAGTTGAAACCCCCTTGTAGTCAAGTTGAAAATGGAGAAAGTAGAAGAAGAAGGCTCAAAGTGTTCCATAAGTGGGAAAAGTGAAGTCAACAGTCTGCTGCTGCACAACCTCAGAATCCCAGAAGACTGTTGCCATCACTTAGTCCACTGATGTAACACTTCAAGCAATTCTTCTTCCACTTGTAGAAAACATAAGGATTAGGATAACAGTAAATAATACATAACAATCTCATATACAAATGCAAATGTAACAACTATATCAAAAACATGTAAAATCAGAGAACCCCTACATCATAAATTGCAATAATATGGCAATACCTTCAAATCAAACAGTCAAATGTATTCCTTTTATTGGTTTACTAAAAACGATATCTGCTGGAGGGGAGATTGGCCAACAGGCTCCTATTATTTCTCAGAGACTCTGGTGATGATTTCTCAGCTTCACTGACCCATCTCAATAATTATGAGCATACTTTATCTTTACCAGTATATTTTTTATTTAGTCTACATTAGAAAGTTCACCAAAGGAAGGAAGACAAGTTGGCTTGGCTTCCTGTTGCCGAGAACAGAGATTAAGTTTCCAGTTCATTGTCAGAACATAAAGGCACTATACACCACTCCAATTCGGTCAACTACTAATCCAAGCCCTAAGACTATCAGGTGCCAGTCTGGAACATCAAAAGCAAGAGGTGGAGGACTGTACACTGGTTCTAATAAAAATATATTATGTTTATTACAGAATTAAAAAAGTCCATAAAATCCACAGCACACGGAGGGAGCAAATGTTAACGTGTTTTATTCCAGTGGGTGCCTAGTCACAACACATCATGCAGAGAAGCTCCACTGTTTTAATACCACTTAGGTCATTCTACACCCGTTGGAACCAATCTGTGTATGTTCCCACAAAATAACACAAATGTGTAAAGCTTCCAGACCACAGGTATGTGAAAATATAAAGAAAAACAAAAATTAGCAATGAAAAAAAAAAAATTGAGAATATTCTCTGTAGTACATAGGAACATAGTTAGTCTGGTTGAAAAAAGACAAAAGTCCATCCAGTTCAACAATAAAAAAAAAAAAGTTATAATCCTACACCCACAGTTGATCCAGAGGAAGGCAAAAAAAACCCAGCAAAGCATGACTCAATTTGCTCCTGCAGGGGGAAAAATTCCTTCCTGATCCCCCGAGAGGCAATAGAATCTTCCCTGGATCAACTTTACCTATAAATGTTAGTAACCAGTTATATTCTGTGTATCTAAAAAAGAATCCAGGCCTTTTTAAAGCAACCCACTGAGCTGGTGAAAACCAACTCTTGAGGTAACCTATTCCACATTTTCACAGCTCTTACTGTGAAGAAACCTTTCCATATTTGGAGAATAAATTTCTTTTCCTCCAGACGTAAAGAGTGCCCCCTTGTCCTCTGTGATGACCTCAGGGTGAATAACTCTACACCGAGTTCACTATGTGAACCACTGATGTATTTATACATGTTGATCATATCCCCATTAATCTCCTCTTCTCAAGAGAGAATAAATTCAGTTCCTCTAATCTTTCCTCATAGCTGAGCTCCTCCATGTCTCTTATCAGTTTGGTTGCCCTTCTCTGTACTTTCTCCAGTTCCCCAATATTCTTTTTGTAAATTGGTGCCCAAAACTGAACTGCATATTCCAGAGGAGGCAGTGCCCCCTGGAAGAAGGGACACAAGTGAAGATGGGGACATGTTGGGCTCGGTGTGTCAGTGCAGTGAGCCTTCCCAGTGTACCGGCCGCTGCCGAGGAGAAGGAGGAAGAAGGACATCTGGGGTGCAGTCCTGAGGACATGGCACAGCTGCTGGAGCAATGGGAGGTTGGCAGGTGAGGTGAGGATGGGGACATGTTGGGCTCGGTGTGTCAGTGCGGTGAGCCTTCTCAGTGTACCGGCCGCCTCCCAGAAGAAGGAGGAAGAAGGGCATCCGGTGTACAGTCCTGCATACATGGCATTGCTTCTGGAGCAGTGGTAGGTCGGCAGGTGTGTGTGTGTGAGTGTGTGTGTCATTGTATATGGGGGTCAGGGGGAGGGTGGGAATCAGTGGATATGGGGTCAGTGTGTGGGGGATCAGTGTATATGGGGTCAGTCTGTGGGGGAATCCGTGTATATGAGGGCAGTCTGTTGGGGGGGGGGGCACAGTGTATATGGGGGCAGTCTATTGGGGGGGGGGATCAGTGTATATGGAGGCAGTCTGTTGGAGGGGATCAGTGTATATGGGGACAGTCTATGGGGGGGAATCAGTGTATATGAAGGCAGCCTGTAAGGGGGGAATCAGTGTATATGGGGGCAGTCTGTTGGGGGGATCAGTGTATATGGGGGCAGTCTGTTGGGGGGGATCAGTGTATATGGGGGCAGTCTGTTGGGGGGGGATCAGTGTATATGGGGCAGTATGTGGGGGGGGGGGGAATCAGTGTTTATTGGTGCAGTCTGTTGGGGAGTATCAGTGTATATGGGGGCAGTCTGTGGGGGGGGGTTTAGTGTATATGGGGGCAATCTGTTGGGGGGAATCAGTGTATATGGGGCCAGTCTGTTGGTGGGGGGGGGGGAATCAGTGTATATGGGGGCAGTGTCTTGGGGGGATCAGTGTATATGGGGGCAGTCTGTTGGGGTATCAGTGTATATGGGGGCAGTCTATGGGAGGAATCAGTGTATATGAGGGCACTCTGTAAGGGAGGGGGGAAATCAGTGTATATGGGGGCAGTCTCTGTGGAAGGAGATCACTCTGGGGTGGTTCAGTCTGTGAGTCAGAGGGAATTTACATCCCACCATACCTTGCATACATCCATCCACTCCCTGCAGAGACCTGATGTCACCCAACACTCCCCATTGCACCCATCACACCCCAACATACCCTGCCAGCACATCTCATAGATCCCACCCTACTATACTCTGCATGCACCAATCACATAAACCCTCCTGCACCTCTCACCACCCATCACACTCCACAATTTCTGCTTACACCCATCACACCCTTCGTACAGCTATGGCTCCCCCATCACCCCCCATAAAAAAACTGTATACACCCCTTCTTCATTGTCACCACCCTTTACACCCTAGTTGCTACCATCACCATGCAACCTCTCTCTCACGGGGGAAGGGGGGGCACACAGTTTTTGTGTTGCCTAGGGCAGCACAAAACTTGAATACACCACTGGGTAGACCAACCCATAAATATGGAAGAGTTAGATTGGCATGGGAATTGGGTGGAAAGTGGAGTGCTGAGGAGACAGTGGCCTGGGAGGGGTTCCCTGGGTCCAGGGGGGGGCTGGGCTTGGGCTGACTCAGGAGGGTCCTTTTAGCAGTATGGCATGTACAGGTTCTAGGCCTGGGAGCAGTGGGAGCAAGGAGGTCCGATGGTGTACATCAGATCACCCAGGGATTTACAAAGGAAGAGACTGCCACACGTAGCAAGCTTTCAAAGGACAGTGCTGTGCCAAATCCTTTATCCTTGTCCTGGGAGATCTTCAGAGCAGCCAGGAGGGAGGGTAGTGTCTGCAGGCTATGGATTTGGGAGCAGTTCTACAGGGGGGGGAGACATCTTTGTATGTTGTTTGCAACAAGCTGAGCCAACTTTCAGAGGGACTGCGAGTCCTTAGCACGTAAGGCGTGGTTGCTACTGATCCACAAAGACTGATAACCTTCAAGGAAAAGGACGGTCCAGGATCTGTTTCTGTAAATTTGATGGAAGTTGTCCCCATGCATTGATTCAGTTAAATTTGGCATTGCATAATCCCTAATAAATTAACAATCCAAGCTCATGGACTGGCAAATGTTAAAAATGCATGTTGCCTGGCTGTGCAGAGCTTAGGGGGACCTAGAAACACAGTAGTCCTCAAAAGGATAGCTCTACATGTGATTATTCTACACTCCAAATAAGTAAGAAAAAGACAAGCAAGTAGCCCTATCGTATCATATTCTGTTGAACAACAAACTGGCCACTAATACAAGCTGCAAATCAAAAACCTATAAAACAATATAATAATAATTTTAGTATACCCAGAGGGTCAAAGTAACTTTAACAGGTACACATGTTTGTGTTTCAGACTGTCAGAAAAAAAGAGGAAAATGAATCTACTCATAAAAGTGGGTAACATCCCACTTATAATCCAATCCATTTGGGATGCGAGTCTGTAATTGAAAGATCCAATAAACTCCTCTCTTACATAACAGCATGAACACATCTCTTCCTCTTTTTGGGAGTCTAACTTTCTTAGTAGCCTGTACCATTACCGCAAATACGTCCCTTCAATGACAATTATTAAAACGACAGGCAATGTTAGTGGAGTGATGCTGTTCTATATCATAGAGGTGATCGTTTGTACGATCTCTCAACCTCCAGGTAGCTCTGCTCAATATGATTCACTGATTTAATCTGTAATGACCAGGGGCGGACTGACATTTGGAAACTCGGGCACTGCCCAAGGGCCCGGGGTCAGTAGGGGGCCCCATGAGATGCCCCTGGTACCTTTTTCATAGGCTTTTTTGAGTTTGGGCAAGGACACAGGGGCCCCATGATCCCCTATTGCCCGGGGGCCCCATGAGTTGTCAGTCTGCCCCTGGTAATGACATAAAATTGAGTGCTACAATTCAAGAAAGATTTGAATCTAAATGTCCTATACTAACTGTCAATCTTATAGTGTCACCTCTCAAAATCAGGAGACAACACAGACATTTATTTGCCACAAATCAAAAGTTACCCTTAAAATGTAGCCAAGTAATAGATTGTGTAGAGCCAGAATCAAACAACTAGTAGATAAAATGTTACCCTACGTAAGGGCTCTCCTAGGTACGAAACTGATACCTTTTCTTAAGATCTCAATGCATACATGATCATTATAGTGTTACAAAACCCACAACAGTAAAATCAGTCTGTATATGCAGTAAAGCATGCTTGTTATACTCACTGTGGAATCTAAGGGGTAAATCCTCTGTGTAAAAAGGCTGTTTGATCCTCTCTTCTCTGCCCCTGCTCTTGTTAAAATGACCACCTGATACAGACTGAATCCGTGGTGACATCTCATGCTCAGTTTGGTGTGTACTGCTAGAGAGGTTTTTTTTTTTCTTGGGAGCGTGCATGTGATCAGCACATGGCCAATCAGCACTGTCCAGACAGAGGTTAGGGGTTTCACATCCTCCTAGAACAGAAAAAAAAAACTCCTCCTACAAGCTTTAAACAGTGCTCTGCTGAAGTCACAAGACTGGTCTAACTGCTGATGAGAAAATGTATTTAGCAATTTATATTTACTAAAATAATTGCATTTCCATGTTCTGAGTGTGTTGGGCAGCACAGTGGCTATGTCACGATATGCCGTCAGGTTCAGAGACCAGTTGCTACAGCAGTGTAAGGCTTACCTGAAACCAGCAGGATTGGTACACCAGCGGCCCACCCTGGGAATGACGCAAGCTCACCTGAGGTGCGGGGTCTAAGCATCCACTGGTCTTCCCCAGAGCTCCTAATGGTGGAGATGGATTTGGCTGCGTGTGAATGCCAGGTCGCAGATCTCAGGATCACCCCACCAGGGAATGAGCAAGCTGGAAACCAAAAGCGGATCAAACAGTTCAGGGATCAAACAGAAGCGGAGTCAGTCACAAGCCAAGGGTTGGTCACCAATGGTAGTAGATAGGATGAGGCAGAATCGTAGTCAGTAGCAAGCCAAAGGTCCGTAACGTAGATGAAGACAGCAGCAGGAACAGTAAGCAGGATATTGGCTGGTAAGGCACAATAATCTGGCAAGGAGGAAGTGCATGGACATGGCTTTGATAAGGAAGTTCATGGGAGAAGCAAGGAGTTCAAGGTTCAAGAGAAATCAAGGCACAAGGCAGGATTATCCAAGAATTGTCAAGGGAGCTGTCAAGCATTCCAGATAGCTCAGTGAGAACAGACAATGACTCCCACTGCAGAAGGACCAGGTTTGATCCCAGGCTCTGACAGGCTAAATGGTTAGCATTTCTGCCTGGCAGTACTATAGTCACTGCTTCAAATCCCAACTACATTACCACCTGCCTGGAGTTTGCATGTTCTCCCTGTGCCTGTGTGGGTTTTCTCCAGGTACTCTGGTTTCCTCCCATACTCCAAACACATGCTGGTAGGTTAATTGGATCCTGTCTAAATTGGCCCGTGTATGTATGAATGTGAGTTAGGGACCTTAGATTGTACACCCCTTGAGGGTTAGGGACTGATGTGAATGTACAATATATATGTAAAGCACTGCATAAATTGATGGTGCTAAATAAGTACCTGAAATAAATACTGTGGGAGACCAGATATAGTGAATGCAGGGCACTGGGTTTAGTAACACTTTAAGGAGAATATCTAAATGTCAATAATAGTTTTACCCCAACAAAACAAAACTCCCTGTCAGAGCATGATTGCCAATGAAAATGAAACACCAAGTAAATTGATCATTTTGGGCCTGTAGATGGAAGTGAAGTTGATCTCGGCTAATATTCTCTTTCAATAGGTTCTGCATGTAACCTAACCTTTGCATACAACGCAGTTCAACCAGCCTACATCCCACCCTTTTTCAATACACAGGGGGTTACTGCTGTATAATGATAAAGATTTCTAACCTTGAGCGCTGCATATCACAAATAATAATAGTAGTAGTAATAATAATAATACATTGAAGTACACAAAGCCTGACATTAGGTGAGTTTACTGATAATCTTTATCCTGATGAGGTCCCTTTAAAATACCCAAGCTCGTCCCTATAAATGTGGATAATAGAAATCTGTGCATTATGATATATCTTAATATATGGATACACCAAAGTGATCTTTGCTCTCAGTCTCATGTGACTCTGATAATATACTGTAGAGGTGAGCTTGTATGGATTGCTGTTATCAGCAGTTCCTTCATTTTCCTGGTTTCAGCAAAATAAGACCTAAGCTCCTATGTCTGTTGTTAAATGTGTCCTATTTTTTCTTTCTCTTTACCATGAACTGCGTATAACTTGGCTATCCTTTATTAGCTCTGTAGAGTTATAACGATAAAAACATTTTACAAGACAGCTGAGCAAGCATGGGCAATGAAATCTGAGATTAGAGTATATGTAAAGCCAAGTCTTCTTGGTTTTGGACAAATATAAAAAGGATAAAACCATTGTCAGCTTTTTATTGCTGCGTGTGTCCCTACTGTGGACATCTATTGGTCTTAGTGACCATTACAAATTTCCCAAGTACTCTTGTAAGGGTTGCTTATAAGAACGATGTAGCGCCCTCTTCTGTACATAGTTTGTAAGTGTAGTTAGAGGCTTGCTAGAAGCCAGAATGTGAGTCAGAGGGTTTACTTCAAGTCAGGCTGGAGGGCTCTACAGGTCAGGCCTCTGGTACCTCTGGTACCTTCCCCTGGTTCTAGAAGCTTGGAGAAGTCTCCTGGGTGGAGGCCAGGAGGAGCTGATCTGCAAATTCATGGGAGGCCTGGCAGTGTGGCAGACTTGCCCATAAATATGAGAGAGCAGGGAGGTTGGGTGGAATATGGAGTGCTGAGGTGTGCCGCTGTGTAGCCTGGGAGGGGACTCCTGAGAAGGGGGTTCTGCCTCCAGGCTGCAGGCTGGAGGAAGGAAGGAAAGGAAATTAACAGAGGGAGCTCCACTGCCTTACACTGAAGAAAACAGCCCAGCAAAATCCTGAAAGCAGTTCTTCCTAAGCAACAGGACACAAGGACAGTGTAAGTACCTCTATACTCCTGGGGCCTCCAGGAGAGAAGGCTGCTAGGTGCTATACCCAACCACTTCTGCCTGGGTGTCAAGGTCCTACCTTTTCCCTGTGGTTATGTTACTTCATGTGCTGGTGTCCATCTTGGATTCTGCTGTGCATGATGGGAGCCCTTTTATGCCTTCAGGTTTCTGTGGTCCATCCTCCAGAGGGGTGTGGCTGATGACATATAAGCCTGTGGCCCGCACATGCTCTTTGCACTTGTGTCTTGTGTCTTGGTGTTGCTGTTACTCTGTTCTGACTCTCGTGACTCTCCTGGTATCTGATTCGGCTTGTCTTGACTATTCTTTGTATTCTCCTTTGATCTGACCCTCTGTTGCTGAACCCGGCTCATGACCTGTGATTCTCATCTGCTGTCCTGTACTGTTCTGTCCTGTTGTTGTTGACCCCGGCTTGTCTGACTACTCTTTTGTCTCTTCCACCAGCTACACGCCATTGGCGGCGGCCATTACCGCAGCTGAGGTGTCTCGGGGGCCGCGACCTGGTTCCTGGCTGCGTCAAGTCCATCCCCACCATCAGGGGCCCTGGTGAAGGGCAGCCTGGGACTTAGACTCCGCGCCCTGAGGGACTTCGGTCTGTGGGTGGTGGTTGTCGTCAGCCAGTGCGTTACATTGTTAGGCCTGCCTGTCCGTTCCTCAGCTCCTGCCCTGACATTGGGACAGCGCTCCAGGATATTCTTCAAAAACAGACAGGTGGATGAGTAGTTCTAGTTGGGTTTTAAAGAGGAACATTTAGAGGGGACCAAAAGCTCCTCACAGAAACTTTGTTACTGGGCCGTGAAGAGACTGATGCCAGGATTGTACATTTTGTGAAGTTTGTCCTTAGAGTTATTTGTTTCAAGTCAAGCTGGGCATCTCATATACCCCTAGACCAGCAATGGGCAAACTACGGCCCGCGGGCCGTATGCGGCCCGGCGGACCTTTTAATCCGGCCCGCGGAGCGTGATAAAAAAACAAAACAGCCAGGGCAGGCAAACATTGGCTGTCAGGATGTGTGTAGGCGGGGCAGTGTGACGAACGTGAGGGGAGCTAGGCTCCTCTCACAGTCCGCCCTGAAGACCGGAACGGCGCGGGAACACGGCGAGAGGAACGCGGAGCAAAGGTAAGTAAATTGACACAGGGGGGACTTGGCTTACTACTTGTGGGGGAATAGTACTGTGGGGGGTGAAATACTATATGGGGGATGAATTAATATGGGGGATGAATTAATATGGGGAATGAATTACTATAGGGGGGATGAATTACTATATGGGGGATTAATTACTATGCTTACTATGGGGGAATATTACTATACTTACTATGGATGGCATGGTAGTGGCTGGGCCGGCCAGCAGCTAGTGGGGGGCATAAAAGTTTTGTAAAATAACTCTTTTTATGCTTTTCTACCTTAAATTAATCTAAACATTTAATGTTACAAATTTTAATTTAATTTATATTAATTCACACATACACGTCATTCATCTACTCTTGGGCCGGCCCCCGGGTCCAATATATGAACCCATTGCGGCCCTCAAGTCAAAAAGTTTGCCCACCCCTGCCCTAGACCCTATCCAAGTTGTTTATCCCTAAATAAAACAACAAGAACAAGCCCATGGACTGGTTACTGACTCTGAATGCAAGTTGGAAAATGCGTGTTGTCTGTCCATGCAGGAAAATAGGAGGACCTAAAACCAGCGGCTCTCAAGGGGGTAGTGCTAAAACATATTCCCTGATTTGTAGAGAAATAGTATGCGAGCGCTATCTGAAACTACAGAGAATAGCCGCTAGAACACCAAAAAGGTAACCAAGGACAAACCTTCCAATCACTAGGGGAGTGGTGTGTTCTCTGGGTGTGGCTGAGGAGGATGGAGCCTGAGAGTCCCCACTTGCAGAAACCGGTTTAGAGGGACCACAGACGGTGACACAGTGTTAAGGCCTTATTGGAGTACCTACCCTGGATGAGATTGGATGGTGCATTACTCTGACCCTGTTCTAGCAGTAGATGACCACTACCTGATGAGAGAGGATACCTTATATGTGCATTTTTGACGCACTTCTGGTGAGTGCGCATTTTTATACCCACACCCACTGTGTGATACACCGGATTTCCGTTTCACGCACTTCAATTGGATCTATTGGTTCCCCATGTGGGCGTTTGAATCATTTTGGGACATTCACTTATTTTAATTCACTCAGTATAATTCACCAATTTTATTGTTATTATATATATTCCCTGATTTACAGATAACAGTTCCCAATCAGATAACATAGTCTCTTTGGTGATAAGGTGAAGTTCATTCTGCAGAACATAGAAAGCAATTGAACCACTTCTGTGGAGTAGATGATAAAGACCACATGGCCTGGAGTCAGAGTTTGAGAGATGTAATGGACTTTGCAGCTGTATACAGAGTATATTATGGGCCAATAGAAGTCTTACACTTTTTCATCTCCTGCTCTGTATTTACATGGTATGATACCCTTTTCTCACTCCCACTCCAGTACTTTATGCTGACATAGCTGGGTAACAGCCACTTCTCTCAGTCCAGGACTTGTACTGCAGAGAAGGGGGTACAGGATTTCTGACCAGGTGTAAGGATGGTATAGTCTATTCCAGTAAAGAAGGACAATCCTTGTGTGTGTTTCTGTGCATAATGTCATTATCAAATGTGTATTAGTGCACAAGTGTGGATATTCTGATGTTCATGCTAAAGCAGCTTGCCTGCTCAGCACCAAATGGCCTATATAAACTGAAGAGTGATATGGACAGATTACTAAGCGGTCTTTTAGCTAGTTCCTAATCAACCTGTGACTTGTCCTGCTACTCCTGGCTTGCCTTTAAACTGTCTTTCTTGTCTGTCCATTGTGACCTCGGCCTCTATCCTGACACTATCTCTGCCCTAAGCACCTGTACCTCACTCTTGGACTGTTGCTGACCTTGGCCTGTATCCATATGCTGTCCCTGCCTTCAGATTCAGTACCTCATGGCTCAGCAAATGACAACCTTAGGTTTGTGTCCTGGCTTCATTCCTGTCTGCTAATCAGGTGCTACCTGGTGGTCCACAGTCATCTGTCCTTCACACCGACAGTTGGTGCTGCCTTCAGCACTAACCCTTGTGTCATTCTGTGTCCTCACCTTTGCTGTCACCACTACCAGGGGGGTTGGACAACAGGTACAAGAGAAGCCCCTCTTGATCTCCTACAGGCACATGTCACCAGTAGGGTTGCCACCTCAACCCTTTAAAACTGAACACATATTAATTACACAGGTTCTGTGGCTGATAAAGGTGGTAATTAAACCCACTTAGTGCCTTATATGCATGAAATCAGCCTCAGAACCTGTGTAATTAATATGTGTTTGGTTTTAAAGGGTTGAGGTGGCAACCCTAGTAACCAGTCCTGTTAGTGAATGCTGATTAGTGGAAACACAGGGTCTAACTCTGGTGCCTATTGGACTATAAAGTCATAAATAAACTCCCAGAGCAACTGCTGTAACAGAAAAGTGGAAGTAAGACTATGAAAATGGAGGCTGTTAGTACAATGTCTGTCTGACTGCATATCTTTCTCTATGGCTTCCATTGCGCTTTAGAACCCATTCTCAACAGTAGGTTAATAACACACGCACTATGATGCATTATGTCAACAATTAACATTGTATCCTTTTCCCTTTTTTAACTTTATTTAATTTTAACAAAAAACACTTAGTTTAAATATGCAAAACAGCACATTGTGACGCATTGATGTGTGTTGTAACTGAATGTGTGCTTCATAAACATGTTGCATTTTTATGCAACATGCACCAATGCAGAGTGCATTGAAAAACAATTATTTTCTAGGTGTCAATGCAGATCAATACATCTCTACGCACCTGGAGTGAATGAACCCTTAAGCTTCTGGATACAAAAGTTGTTGCTAGAAATGAGCTTGGTTGTTCTCCGAACTCATCTCTCACCTGAAGTCCAAACTTCTGTACTCCAATGAGCTGCGGGTTTATTTATTCCATGAACCACATCTCATTGGATTACTAAAAAGCAGGAGTTTGGGTTAGAGATGAGTTTGGAGTTTGGGTTAGAGATGAGTTTGGAGGATGTCCTAACACTTTTCTAGTTGCTAAATGGCTGGATGACTTGTAAAGTGTAAGTCACATTGCTATAAATGTTACATAAAGAAAAATGATAACTGGTATCTCTGAAGAGTTTCTTGACTGGATCACCACTCTAGTCCTAGTCAGTAAAGGGCTCCTATTTAAAATGTGTGGTTAGCATGAAGGCAGTGTATCCTCCAGCCTGAAGGTGGCTCTGAGCCATTTCTTCAGGCTCCATTGAGGAGTAGTTTGTCCCCTGCTATGGGCTCCACAATTGGGGGAGAATGCTGTATCTTGCTGAATAATGAAACTCCATGATATATGGACAGCCATCTTGACACAGAAGGCCTTAAATAGGAGTTTCTGTTTCATTCCATGTGCTCTCAGTGTGGGAGTATGATAGGGATAGAGCCCCCCACTGGACAGGGAGAAAATAGGAGCATTATTGGGGAGAGGTACCTGTGGATGAGAGAAATAATAGATTTTCCATTACAGGATGGCTTCTCTGTCAGCTTCTCAGAACAGTCTACCAATGGCGGTCGGATATCTGCAGAGACATTCGAGTATCACAGTGTAACACAGTAACCTCAGAGGAAAGTGCTTCTCTGGCATCCTGTGATCTGTAAGTGTGTAATATAACACTGCTGAAAAACTGCCTTGCTGGTAAACATTACTTTCTCTGCCTGGAGAACAGCATGCAGTACCATTGCTATTATTACTGCCAAGTTTGTACCTATTCAATTTCTACAATATACTGTAAACATTTAAATTACTCTATGTCGTGATTCTTCCAAATCTTTGAGTAGACCCCAATTACAGGCACTTTAAGAAAAATAAAAGACTCCCTGCACACGTTTTCAGATATACACTATATTGCCAAAAGTATTGGGATGCTTGCCTTTACACGCACATGAACTTTAATGGCATCCCAGTCTTAGTCCATAGGGTTCAATAGAGTTGGCCCAAGATTTGCAGCTATAACAGCTTCAACTCTTCTGGGAAGGCTGTCCACAAGGTTTAGGAGTGTGTCTATGGGAATGTTTGACCATTCATCCAGAAGCATATTTGTGAGGTCAGGCACTGATGTCGGATGAGAAGGCCTGGCTCACAGTCTCCACTCTAATTAATCCCAATGGTGTCCTACCAGGTTGAGGTCAGGACTCTGTGCAGGCCAGTCATGTTCCTCCACCCGAAACTCACTCATCCACGTCTTTATGGACCTTGCTTTGTGCACTGGTGCACGGTCATGTTGGAACAGGAAGGGGCTATCCCCAAACTGTTCCCACAAAGTTGGGAGCATGAAATTGTCCAAAATGTCATGGTATGCTGATGCCTTAAGAGTTCCCTTCACTGGAAATAAGAAGTCAAGCCCAACCCCTGAAGAACAACCCCACACCATAATTCTGTCTCCCACCAAACTTTACACTTGGCACAATGCAGTTAGGCAAGTACCTTTCTCCTGGCAACCGCCAAACCCCAACATGTCCATCAGATTGCCAGACAGAGAGGCGTGATTTGTCACTTCAGAGAACACATCTCCACTGCTCTAGAATCCAGTAGTGGCGTGCTTTACACCACTGCATCCGACGCTTTGCATTGCACTTGGTGATGTAAGGCTTGGATGCAGCTGCTCGGCTATGGAAACCCATTCCATGAAGCTCTCTACACACTGTTGTTGTGCTAATCTGAAGGCCACATGAAGTTTGGAGGTCTTTAGCTATTGACAGTTGCGACTTCTGCATACTGTGCACTTCAGCATGCACTTACCCTACCTGTCATTTTACGTGGCCTACCACTTCATGGTTGAGTTGCTGTTGTTCCCAGTTGCTTCCACTTTGTTATAATACCACTAACAGTTGATTGTGAAATATTTAGTAGCAAGAAAATTTCACGAATGGATCTATTGCACAGGTGGCAACCGGTCACGGTACCACACTTGACTTCACTGAGCTCCTGAGAACGACCCATTCTTTCACAAATGTTTGTAGAAGCAGTCTGCATGCCTAGGTGCTTGATTTTATACACCTGTGGCCATGAAGGTGATTGGAACACCTGAATCCAATGATTTGAAGGGGTGTTCCAATACTTTTGGCCTTTTGGCAATATAGTGTACTTGGGAGACACACTCCACTATCACACACATTTGCATTGATGGTTATTTTTACATGGTATCCTCATATATTTGCAAATGAATGAAATGAGACTTTGTTTCATCCAAACATTAGAGATATCAAAAAAACAGCGGTTAGGTGAATTATGTTAAACAAATTAAATGGAAAAAGCTGCAAACACATTATGAGATATTAACATTGTCACAAGAATTTCAAAGAGGACATGCTTTTCAGGGCAGGGCTGTGGAATGGACAGGTAGGCCTAGTGGCAGGGTAACGCACTGACTGACGACAACCACCACCAACAGACTGAAGTCCCTCAGGGCGCGGAGTCTAAGTCCCAGGCTGCCCTTCACCAGGGCCCCTGATGGTGGGGATGGACTTGACGCAGCCAGGAACCAGGTCGCGGCCCCTGAGACACCCCGGCTGCGGTAATGGCCGCCGCCAATGGCGTAGCTGGTAGGAATGACAATAGCGTAGTCAGGCAGGCCGGGTCGACAACAATGGGACAAAACGGTACAGAACAGTAGACAAGAATCACAGGTCACGGGCCGGAAGGTCAGATCAAAGGAAAACACAGAGAATGGTCTAGTCACAAGCCGAGTCACATTCCAAAAGAGTCACGAGAGTATACACAGAGCTGTAGCGACACAAAGACACGAGACACAAGTGCAAAGAGCATGTGCGGATCACAGGCTTATATGTGCTCAGCCACACCCCTCTGGGGGATGGACCTCAGAAACCTGAAGGCATAAAAGACTCCCACCATGCTCTGCAGAAACCCAAGATGGACGCCAGCACATGAAGCCGCACAATCTCTGGGAAAAGGTAGAACCTTGACAATGCTACACTGATTCCAAAACTTAAAGAACATTACAATTAAAACAAAAGTAGACCCACAAAAACGATGTGATCTTCCAGGTTTCTTCAAGATATCTTCATTCTCACGTTGGTGGATGTGTTCACCTTTCATTTCTTTTTGGACATTTATGCTTTAGATTTCACATTTGGACTTTTCATATGGGTTTCTAGTTAATATATGAATATCACATAATTTTTTGTGGGTCCACTTTTGTTTTAATTGAATCACTTATTATTTGTATTATTCTTTAAGTATTGAAATCAGTGTAGCATGCCCTCTTTGCACGTTTATCCCAACATTAGCAGGGCTGAATGCTGTGTTTATTGAAGTGGTTCTAATGGCTGAAGGTTTTTTCAATGGAAACACAGAGCTGGCTTGGGGGAGCACACACACGAGTGTCCCATAGCTTGCTATGGGGGCACTTGGCAGGGGGGAGGGACCAGGAGCACCAACAGGGGATATGAGAAGAGGAGAATTAAATTACATAGAGCAGGTTATATGTTTGTTATTTTTTAAAATTGCCTTTAGAATCACTTGACTTGCAAGCTACGTAAACTTATTATTTTTCTATTGGTTGAACTAGATGGACTTGTGTCTTTTTTCAACCTGACTATGTGACTATGTAACTATAAGGCAGACTTGGGAAAACAAGTGCAGAGATAGGGCCCCAAACAATGTATGAAACAACAGCTGTCTGATCGCATCAACCACATACCAGTATATCGGATTTGGGTGGGCTAACCCTTTAACACGCTGCATAGAGGTACGAGTTACAGTTGTTCACAACAAAGCACAATGCAGCCTATATTTCATTTGTAAATACCTTTGCTATGCTTTGCAATAGAAATAAAATGTTAGTGTCATTATACACAGAATAAAATGTAGAATAAAATGTGCAACCCAAGTGATGGTGATGGGGAGTGGGGCAAACCATTTTGTAGTAGTGGTCCTCAATGGACACATCCAGAGAAATGGGTATCAAGCAGCAACTGATGACGGGGAGCACTTTTCCTGAGTGTTTTGCTTGCACCCAGGGGCGGACTGACCATTTGGAAAATCGGGCACTGCCCGAGGGCTCGGGGTCAGTAGATGGCCCCATGAGATGCCCTGGTACCTGTTTCATAGGCTTTTTTGAGTTTGGACAAGGACACAGGGGCCCCATGATCTCCTATTGCCCAGGGGCCCCATGAGTTGTCAGTCCGCCCCTGCTTGCACCATGTCACATTCAGGTCCTGCCATCTGGCCTGTGTATGATGATGTGCATAGGCAGGACTACCTATGTATTCCAGAGCTGTCCCTAGTAATAAAATAGAGTGAATTCAATAACAGCAGCTCCAGGATTCATATGTATAACTGGCTCACTTAAGCATCCGAGAGAGAGGACACTTTTTAGATATGTAATTTGCATAAAAGAAAGATTAATGGGGATATATGTCTTTTAAGGTAACACTTCCAGCAAAACTGAAATTTAGGCTTTGTGATGCATACAGAATGCATGACCTCCCTGTTCAGTATTTTAGTTTTTCATCCAAGCATTGCTCTGTGGTACCAGCCTATCCAAACTGCCTTTTCTAAACATGGAACAGACCAGGGGCGGACTGACAACATATAGGGCCCCCGGGCAATAGGGGATCATGGGGCCCCTGTGTCCTTGCCCACACTCAAAAAAGCCTATAAAAAAGGTACCAGGGGCATTTCATGGGGCCCCCTACTGACCCCGGGCCCTCGGGCAGTGCCCGAGTGCTCAAATGGTCAGTCCGCCCCTGGAACAGACATGCTTGTGATGCTGAAACACACTTGTTACTGCCTCTTATTTAGAAAAACTTAAAACTGTATTAAACCCCAAAACAATTTTTATTTTTGCAGTTTACCAATCACCAAGAGTAATTCCACTTTTGTTGGGAAAATAACAATTCCCTTTGGATGAAGGCACATTGCAGGATTTTAATAAACTTTGTAGCAGATTCCTACCCTTTCCTGTTTTGAAGAAAAGCTGTTTGTTTCACCATGTCCTTTACAGACTGATTCTGAATGGGGTGGGGGGTCTGGTTCATAAGCACCTGGTACACTTTCAGTATTCTAATAAAGAAAGATGCAGTGTCTGCATCATTTAGAAATGATTAAATGAGAGGTATAGCCAAAGTTTGCTTGGCTGTACTCCTGTGAATCACAGGAGTGCAGTTGGCTGACGTCACTCAGCCAGTCCAGGCTGGGGAAAGACCCCTACTGTAAAGTCGGGATCCACGCAGATCCCTGGACCAGCAGCAATCTCAGTTATCAGTCTTAGAACTGGCGGAAGGTGGACTGATGCTGCATTCAACTAGGTAAGCTGGTAGGATTTCTAATAAAAAAAAAACTCAGCTTCTCTTTTAACCCTTTGGGAGTATCTCACCAAAGCAGAGGATGCCTAAAATCTGACTTCTCAGGTATTTTAGTGCAGACTTCTGGGAAAATCAGTGATCAAATCACACAAGCAGGAAATTACATTTCTGGAGGCATTCTACACAGCAATGGTGTACAGAATGCCTCCAGGTTGCCATATTGCACTGAATTTGAAAATTTAATCCAGAAAAGTACAGCAGCTTTAGAATGAAATGAAAAGGTACATTTTAATAATTCAATTACAACATGGCTTGTGTAGCAATTGTAAATGCTATATATATATTTTTTTCTTTCTATATAGAGCTTTGGACAGCACCATTTCAATCTGGGGAGAGGATAGTGTTAGATGTACTAGCAGATTTACACAAACTCCACTAACAAACTAAAGCTAAACCCCATCTAACAAGCTTTAAACAGTTACAGCAACGAATACGTGTTGCGTATGTAGTACTATCCCCTTTAGAGCCACTGGTTTTGGGTCTCCCTATTTTCCTGAACGACCAGGCAACATGCATTTCCCAACTTTCATGCAGAGTTAGCAACCAGCCCATGGGCTTGATTTTGTTGTTTTATTAGGGGATAAACAACTTGGATAGGGTCTAAGGGTACGTGGGATGCCCAACTTTACTAGAATGATAACTCTGAGGACAAATGTCACAAAAAAATGTAGGATCCTTGGCTTTACTACTCCGTCTGGATTGGCAACAGTCTTTTCACAGATCAGTAACACAGTATCTATGAGGAGCTCATGGTCCCCTCTAAATGAACCTCTTCAGACCCCAGCTAGAACTACCCATCCACCTGGCTGTCTTTTGAAGAGTATCCCAAAGCAAGAGATCCTGAAACAGGCTTGCAGCACTGTCCCACACTGGTTAAGTATAGCATCTAGCAGCTCTCTCTTTTGTAGGCCTCGGTGATATAGAGATACTCACACACTGTCCCTGTGTCCTGCTACTTTGGATGAACTGCTTTCAGGCTTTTGCTGGGCCAGTTCCTCTCCAGGCTAACAGGCTGTCCTTCCTTGGTGGACTGTAAGGCAGTGGAGCTCCCTTTGTCAGCTTCTTTCTGACCTCCAGACCTCTGGAGACAGAGCCCCCCTCCCTGGCTAACAGCCACACTCCTCAGTACTTCATCTTCCACCCAACTCCCCTGCTGGCCAGGCTCTCTCATATTTATGGGCCAGTCTGCCACACTGCCAGGCCTGGGATTTGTCAGACTTCCATGAATATGCAGATCAGCTCTTCCTGACCTCCACCCACTGGATTCTATACACTTCTCCAAGCTTCTAGAAGCAGGGAGAGGTACTAGAGGACTGACCTGAGGTAAACCCTCTGACTCACACCCAGACTTCAAACAAGCTTCCAACTACATTTCAAAACTATATACGCAAGAGGGCGCTACATATATTTATTGAGTATTGCGCACAGTATTTGTTTTCCTTTGGGATAAAGGTTTTACATGACTGAATATAGGCTGTGAGTGTTGTGGCTGCTGAATAAAATATTTGTCAGTGAAGATTCCTCTATCCATGGTGTTTAGGAAAATTGACTGATTTTGTTCTCATTCAGCGCACTGGCAGAATGAGATTGAGCCACACGCATGGATAGCTTAACCTATCTACAGACACTTAATGATGGCCAAATGAGGTGATGCTATCTGACTAGTAAAAGATCTATAGTATAAAAGATAATTCCACAAATATGCCTATGGAGCATTGAGGGGGAGCTTCCAGCAGACAACTAAAACTCCAGCTTATCATAGAAAAATGGTAGTGACTGGCCAGGAAAAAATACTAGATCTACAGTATCATTTCTGGCAATGTCTAACAAGACAAGGGTGTGCAGATATATGATTTCCCAATCTGACCATGGCAAACTGGATTAAATGAAAATTTTCTGTATCACCAGGTACTCCCTCACCCCATCTTTTAGAGAGTTTTCTCCATATTCAAATTACTCATCTGAGGTGTAAGTTTAGTGTAATTTATTGTTTGTTCTTTTCTTGCATACTAATATGGCTGAATATTTAGGTAAGGAATGGGACAATTTAATGTCAGGGTACTTTCAAGATTTTGGACAAAAGGAACTGTTAGAATCCGAACTCACATCTTTGCTCCTTAAACTTGAAAAAAACTTAGAAAAAAAGTCCTTTTTGTATTGGCATATCAAGTCATTTGAGAACTATATCAGAGAAGACTTCAGACCATATAGTTTACGAGTTCAAATTTCTCCAACTTTTGAACAAGTGGAGGATGGGTTCAAACAGGAGTGGGAGAAAGTGCTAAAAAATGTTCTAAAAACTTGATGAATCTATTGGTCTCGGAATACCAAAAACAGTTAAACAATTTGGACAAGGAATTAGATCAACTGAATGCACAATTAGTGCCCCTTAAAACACATGCGTTGTATGCAGAAAAGGATAAAAAAAACTAAAGGAACATTTGAGTAAACTCAATAAAAATATTTTGATTAACAAGGAAAAGAAGTTAATAAGGCTACTTGCACACCGCAAAAATGCCTCAAAAATGCATAGGACGTTTTTACTGCGTTTTTGCCACTTTTTTTAAAGGGCATGTGACTTAAAACTGCCCTAAAAACGCTTCTCAGGGGGGTTTTTCAGGTGTTTTCCATTGATTTCAATGGGAAGAGGCTTTTTGGGGTGTTTTTTTTAACTCCCCAAGCATGCCCCAAAGATGCTGCAAGCAGGAACTTTTACACCGCACAGCAAGTGCAACGCCTCAGTGTGAAAACATACATAGATATACATTCACAGACATAGGGAAGCAGTTTTCTTGAGCTTTCCAGGTCCTTTTTTTAACGCAAAAATGCTTGAAAAACTCAGTGTCAAAGTAGCTCAAGGGATAAAACTTCTTTCCAGGAAGGAAAGGCATATAAGTGGAATAAAGGGCACAATAAGTCTTTGGGGATACAACATCAGAATATGTCTAGAACCAATACCTATTATCCAAATGTTTCACAATCACCGTCCAGTTTGTCTTCTGCTTGTGTTTCTTCCCAGGTCTCAAACATAGAGGAAATTGGCGTTTCAAACAACAAAAAGAAATGGTGATGGTTCACTTGACAAATTTCCCAAGAAACCCACCTTGCAGGACTCTATGCACTCCGAGATGGGTAATAATGCACGTGGGTGTCCAAATTCTTCTTTGACAGGTAACATACATGGTGGTGGGCATATAGCTCTTTCCAACTCCTTGGAGAATATACATGGTGATGGATGCTCTTATGAATCCAATGAAATGCACAGTAGAAATGTGAATATACCTCCACAGTCACATCACAAAAACGCCTTGCCTTTTGTACATCAAAATCACAACAACATACAAATACACAAAGGACACAAAAAAAATAGAGACATACACGCTGAAAAAGAATATGGAGAAATGAATATAATAAATGTATCTTCATATCAGCTATCTAAATTTGAAAGTAAGGCCCTTTCAAAAGGTTTGAGTTTTTGCCCAGAGGAGAATGTAGACAATTTTGAGACGATTAAGGATATTCAACTTTTTGCCCAAAAATTGCTACTGAAAACCATATTTGACAAAAAAAACCAAAGATATCACTAAAAAGTACTAGGGTCGTTGGTTCGAATCCCAGCCACAGCACCTCCTGCCTGGAGTTTGAATGTTCTCCCTGTGCCTGTGTGGGTTTCCTCCGGGTGCTCCGGTTTCCTCCCACACTCCAAAAACATGATGGTAGGTTAATTGGATCCTGTCTAAATTGGCCCTTGTATATGAATGTGAGTTAGGGACCTTAGATTGTCCGCCCCTTGAGGGTTAGGGACTGATGTGGATGTACAATATATATGTAAAGCGCTGCGTAAATTGACTGCGCTATATAAGTACCTGAAATAAATAAATAATATTAATAAAAAGGACCATACAGCTCTAGATTATCTTATTTCCCTTTTAGAGGAAAGTGATCCCTCTGATTTAATTGATCCGGTGGATATAACAGTACTCTTACAGCAATATTAGGGATCTGATAATGAGCCCATGAAGTAAAGTTCACTATTAAAAAAGAAATCTGGCAAAATTCCATCATCCAGTATACATCCCAATGTGGTTGCTTTTATAAAACTTGTGTGTGGTGAAATTAGGGCTTTAAAACCTAAACCCCTAACAGAGGGGAACATGACCAACGATCAGAGGCATGCTTTAAACCAACTAGCAAACAATGCTTCCCTGACCATTAAACCATCCAGTAAAGCTGGTAATACTGTAATCGTGGACAATGATCATTACTTGTCCATGTGTTACAAAATTTTAACCAATTCCAACTGGTACCCTCAAATCCCTCTCAGCATAGTGAATAATTTTAACACCCAATTCTATAAACTTGTAGATGTGACCTATAGAGAAGGTATCATAACTAAAACCACCTGGGATTTTGTTTGCACTTCCTTTCCTAAGATTCCCACCTCTTATGCCTTACTCAAAATTCACAATACTGTCAACAA